TCCTGCAATTAAAAGAGAAAGCAGGCCGGGCGCGGTGGCTCACGCAGCACTAATTCTAGCACTCTGGGAGGCCGAGGCGGGCGGATTGCTCGAGGTCAGGAGTTCGAAACCAGCCTGAGCAAGAGCAAGACCCGTCTCTACTATAGAAAGAAATTAGTTGGACAACTAATATACATATAGGAAAAAATTAGCCGGGCATGGTGGCGCATGCCTGTAGTCCCAGCTACTCAGGAGGCAGAGGCAGAAGGATCGCTGGAGCCCAGGAGTTTGAGGTTGCTGTGAGCCAGGCTGATGCCACGGCACTCACACTAGCCTGGACAACAACGCAAGACACTGTCTCAAAAAAAAAAAAGAGAAAGCAGACACTGCCTGGCTCAGAGACCCTAGGAGAGTTTACTAACTTGATGACACCCAATAGTGTCATGAATGGCTGGCTCACGCCCAGCTCCAAAGAGTGCATTTCATATATCTGTTAAGTACCCCCTCCCACCTGTGTTGCATATTGCCTAATTTCTGCTGAAACCCACTCATGAACATCATCATAAGAACTTATATTCTACTGACTTAAAACTCATTTTCAAGTTAAAAAAAAAATTTAAAAACCTACATTCTACAACTAGCCCTGGGGGCATAACTGGGAAAAGTGAAAGGATAAATGCAATGTCCATTCTCAATTAAAAGATTTTTGACCTCGGGGGCTAATGTGAATTCTTTCCTTGAAGAAGCACAATGGAGCACAGTGATTAGTGATTCAGGCTCTAGAGCCAAATTGCTGGATTCAAATCCCAGTTCTGCCACTTCCTAGCTGTACAACTTGGGCTTACCCTCCTTGTGCCTCAATTCCCTCATTTGTAAAATGAAAATAATAATAATAGCAATCCATTCCCAGGATTGTTGCAAAGAATAAAAGTTTCAGTACCTATAAACTGCACAAAACAGTGCTCAGCATATAGTAGGTGCTCAGTAAAAGGAGCTCTCACCTCTCCTCTTGGTGGGCTTTTGTACTTTGTGGAAGCCCCATGGGAGTACACTGGCGGGGGTTTCCAGGTGGATATAGGGTCTTTTAATACCCTGACCTCAGTAACATTTTGTGTGGGTTCTCCAATGTCCACAATCATAGATCACACAAGTACCAGGATTACACAAATGAAACACACTGTCTATAGGAAAGATGAGCCCAATGTAGCCATCCCACCCCCATTCCGCCCAGTTTTGAGAGAAGCTCCTCAACAGCCAGACCCAAGGAGTCTGCATTAATGCAACCCTAGCTGTCCAGCGTCAGCCATGGTGAAGGCCAGTTGCTGTCTCCCAGCATAAACACGTCACGTAATACCCTTCACTCTCAAGGTAGAAATAATCTCACATATCCTCCGTTTCCATATATGACTTGGGGTTTCTCAAACATTTGATTTAAATTGCTTCTAAAATATATTTTAACCATCTAAACCATAATGAAAATGTGTTATATACCCAATTTTCATACGTGGAGACCACCAGTCCATTAAATTAGGATGCTAAATTAACTCATTTTTATGCAGGCCTCTGAATTAAGTTTTCTCTTTTTAATTAAAGAGTGTCCTGAGACTAAAAGTCAAGCTGTGAAAAACCCATTTGCTATTTGCAACTCCTTAACTGCATAAATCAGGATTTCTTAGTGCTGTGCAACCAAAACCAAAATCTAGAAATAAACTGGGTGCTTAGGCTGATACAACTCTGCAATTTGATGCATAGCTCCTGATTTCAACTTCCTAGGCTCATCAAAACAGCATCATCATTCACATTGACACAAAGTAGATATCAACAATTTGGAATTATAAAATATATGCATGCTAATAAAATATTGCTTCCGTTTCTTATATATCTAAGGGTTCCAAATAAAGATTTTATTTTTGAAAGAAGCTTGGAAACCCACTATAATTGTTATAATGGTACTCCAGTGTTCCTCAAAACCCTTCTTCACGCCTCTCCTGTATACACCTTTATAATGGAGGGCAATCTCTCCATCATACACCTAGGACTGTGACCCTCTCCTGACTGAAAGCATTCTGTGCCTCTTTCCATTTTCCTTAAGACAAAGTGAGGACTCCTCAGCTTGGACAGAGACCATGGCAATCTTGCTCCCACACACTGTTCCCAGATGTCTCTTGTTCCCTGGCACCAGTCCCTGCCCCAGCCACACAGAACATCTCTCTATTTCCCAGGAATGTCAGGTATTTTTCATTCTGTCCTCTTGGCCCCAAATGCCCTCATTCTTTTCTACTCTCCTTTTTTTTTTTTTTTTTTTTGAGACAGTCTCACTCTGTTGCCAGCGTTAGAGTGCCGTGGTGTCAGCCTAGCTCACAGCAACCTCAAACTCCTGGGCTCAAGTGATCCTCCTGCCTCAGCCTCCTGAGTAGCTGGGACTACAGACATGTGCCACCATGCCTGGCTAATTATATATTTTTAGGGTGCCCAGCTAATTTCTTTCTTTCTTTCTTTCTTTTTTTTTTTTAGTAGAGACAGGGCCTCACTCTTGCTCAGGCTGGTCTCAAACTCCTGAGCTCGAAAGATCCGCCCACCTCGGCCTCTCAGAGTGCTAGGATTACAGCTGCGAGAGCAAGCCCTGGCCTAAAAACCCTCACTATCACTTCCCCTCTTCGTCACATCACTCCACCCCATCCCCGTTCTGACAATTGTCAGTCAAGGCCCAACTCAAGCAGCATCTCCTTAGCAGCCCAGGACTTGTTTCCTGCTCCCATAGTGCCTGACGCCCGGCCCTACACTGAAATTAGTGATCTACGTCCCTAGGTTCCTCTCTTAATGGTGACCTTCTGCTGAAATAGTGATATGTTTATCTTTATATTCTGGCACACACAGATACTAGATAATATAGAAGGGAGGGAGTGAGGAAAAGAAGGAGGGGAGGAGGAAAGGGAAGAGATAAGGAGGGAGGACAGGAGGGAAGTGATGGCTAAGCCACCCACCTCCCAGAAGCATGGCGGTAGCCCTTCCAGACTAACTGCATTCCTGGACTGCTTGTGCCATGACTCTGTGTTCAGCTCTTTCAGGATAATAACACCTTTGATTTCATGTCAGTTTCACGACAATTACACTTAGGAAGCAGTATTACTCCTATTATACAGACGAAGTAACTGAGGCTGGAGACATACAATGATGGCCCAGGGCCTGGTCTAACCCATCTAAAGGCCCAGTTTACCTTCCAGAGTGTGTCCGTGTGCACGTGTGTACAAACATGCACACCTTGGGGTAGGGTGCACTGTGGTGGGAGTGGAGTGGCTTAGTCTTTTCTATTAAAAACATGATTTGACCAAGGCTAACCATGTCATCAATTAGAGGCAACATTTTGTCTTGGGCTTTTTATTCTGTGCAAATAGGTTGATATGGAAACCACGCTTCCAAAGTTTTACAATCAAAACACCATTTGCTTCTATTGGCTTTCTTAAAACTTTACATGCCAATGGTAGTAGGTGGGAAATTTCTACATTTGCCACATCAATTCTTGTCAACAACCATCTAACCATATAAATGGTTGTAAAGTAATTGTCGCAAATGCTTTCAAAATATTCCACATTTGTGCCCTTACAGAAAATTAACGAATACAACCACTTTTCAGTGTCTGTCTCCAACTCGATGGTGTGCCCCTTGGCAGTGCCGTTCTATTCATTTCTGGGTGCTCTAGGTTTGGATGGGACATGGCACCCACGAGGCATTCCACAAACGGGGTCTGACTGGGTAAACAAGACAACTGGCAGCTTTGCCAACACCGGTTAAAAACGACAGCCTTGGCCAGGCGCGGTGGCTCACACCTGTAATCCTGGAACTCTGGGAGGCCGAGGCGGGAGGATCGCTTGAGCTCAGGGGTTCAAGAGCAGCCTGAGCAAGAGCGAGACCCTGTCTCTATGAAATAAAATTAAAATTTAAAAAAAAAACAAAAATGACAACCTTATACCTTGGCCTAGCCCTGTACGATCTCCAAAGCTTTCTTGTGATTTTATTTTGCTTGGCCCTCCCACCTTCTCTGCAAGTTAAGCAAGGCACATACTAGCCCCATTCCGTAGAGGAGAAAAGAGACTCTCAGTAAAGTCCGGCGACTTAGCTGGGCTGGTTAACAAGCAGTGGAGTCCAGAGTGGAATCCGGGCTCACTTGCAAGCTCCTGGCCCAGCACCCTCCTCTCCTGCTCACCAGCCCTTCCCAAATGCCTCCACTCAGGAGCAACAGGCACCTGAGCGACAGGCCCCCATCTGACCTGACAACGCCCCGTTTGTTCCCACACCTACTCCACTGTTCCGTGAGCATCCTCTATGGCGATTCAGTTTAGTCCAGATCTCTCCAAAATGCCAATGCATCTGAATCCCAGCTCCTCCCTCACAGCCTTTCCTTGACCCCACACATCTGCTTTTCCTAATTAGCTTTGGCTCACCTGAGTGGAGACCAGAAGGAATCGCCCTGGGCATTTTTCCACTGAGAATGACCGCGAGGGGGGGGGGGGCTGGGCCGCAGCGCAAAGGATGAGGACCTTTTGGTGAAGGAGAATTCTGGTTCTGCCCCACATGAGAACTTCCCTTGCACTGTCCATGAAGGAGGCAGCTAGACTGGGTTCCCTGGACATGGAGACTGGCTGGAGTCAGCTCTGCGTCTCCCACAGGGAGGGGAGAAGTTCTGTGGAGCCTTACCTCAGCCTCCTCACACTTCTCTCCCTCCCTCCCTCCTCTTCCTTCGGGCCCTCAAGTTTCCCACAGAACACACACACACACTCTCTCTCTTCATGGAACATACCACTTCTGACCTTTCACACCCTTACAAGGGTATATTTGTTATGATAAGAAGACAAAAAATTTTTGATTTAACAGTTTGTTAGCTTGATGTACCTCCTGTAACTATTTAGACATATGGTATGTGGGCCTCGATCCACACTCTTGCCCTGCACCCCTGCCCTGCACCCCTGCCCTGTACCCCTGCCCTGCACCCCTGCCCTGCAAATGTGCTCCTGGAGGAAAGTTTTAATGACCAAAAAGCCAGAGCCTCCCCAGCCCCTCAGGCTTTCCACAGTTCTGTGACCTCCCACCACCCATTTTGACCCATCAAGATTGACTTTGTATAATAAAAAAGGCCCATCTTTTGGTGGCCCCATGAAAAATGCAATGTCAGCAAAACATGGGTTGTACGGCTTGGACACATGCGTGGAGGTAACACTGGGCCCTGTCCAAGGCCACATCCAGTTGCAAGGCTCCAAGTCCCAGCCCTAGCTCAGGCCCACCCAGCCCCAGGCAGGCCAGGCCGTAATAAAAGTCATTTCTGGATTGCGTCCATTATCAGGACCAGGGGTGACAGCCTGGAGTCCTTCCTTCTGGGGTCCCCACTGGCAGCACACTCTGTCAGGCCCACCAAATGCCTCTGGGTTTGGGGATTCTTGAAGCCCAGCCATCTACTAACGGTTCTGCTACCCAAAGCTTCCCTCACTGCCCACCTCATGCCTAGGGACAGGCTTGCAGGTAGTGGGTTCACCCTGGGCCCTGGTGATTGGGGACTTGGCCTCAACTTACTCCTCCCAGCCTCACCTTTGTCCCCCACCACCCACCCAGCGGGGCCCCTGCAGAAACACCTTCCAGGGTCCGACTTTCCCTCTAGGCCCCAGCAGCCCACCTGTTCCAGCTCCCCTTCCCGGATCCACTGTCCAAATACAGGGCTCGCTGCCAAGATATGGGAACAGTAAATCTTCCTTCATTCTTTTATTCATGCCCTCACCTCTGCAGACGGTGCTGAGGAAAAACAAACCCCACAAAATCCCTGTGGGCTCCAGCAGTCTGGCAGTCTCTTCTTTGCTCCTCTCTGATGATCTCTGGAAGGCAGAGGCCAGGCAAAGAGGCCCAACCAGCTCCCGTGGAGGTGACAGGCCCATCTCCTCCTCCTGAGTGGGCTCAGCCACTCCCAGCCAACATGCTGAGCACATACAGCATGGTCTGGTCCCCTGGTTCTGGGGACCAGAAGCCAGTGTGACCTGGGGAAGCTGGGCAATCAATATTCATGGCTTCCTGGAGTAACGGTAGGGCTGCCTCACCTTCCTGGCCTCCCCCAAATTGCCAAGAGCTTCTGGGCCTGGGAGGGCCAGATCGTTTGCTCAAAACATTAGGTGAGGTGAGGTAGAGCTGCCCTGGCTGCCAGCTCAGGGGCTGCCACCGGGAAGAAAGGGTAGCCAGGTCAGCTGCAGGCCCTGAAGAAAGAGAGACGTTCTCTGTCAGGGCCTCAGAGCCAAGGCAGCATCTGCTGATGTCACACGGAGCCCGGGTGTCAGGAAGTGAGCTGGGGAGCTCCTGAGAAAATTGCCAGGCCAAGGGGCTTGATCTGTCCTTGAACCCTTTGCCAAGGGTACAAACCCGACAGGGGAACATGGGAAAAGATGTCTTTAGAGTCTTTTGCCTGGTGCCTCCTCCTCCCCAGGGCCTAGAGGGTGGCCTTGCAGTGCTGTGCGGCCGTAGGACGCTGGTTTCCCCGGGCTCCTCTCGAAGGTTGTCCTAACTGGGAGTGGCGGGGGAAGATGTCTCAGGAGGCTGAGGAGGTTTGAGTTGAAGCCAGTCTGATGAGGAAGAGCCCATGGAGAGCACTTTGCCCAGACTTCTGATGTGACAAGTGAGAGACCAAACTCCGGGGAGGTGGAGTCACTCGCTGGGGCAGCACATTGCCACGTTGGATGTGAAGGGACGCTGCAGCTGGAACCGCTACTTCCTGCTATCAGATGCCACAGCCAGAGGTTCCTTGGCAGAGAGACAGTTCAGAGACAAGCCCAGGCCTGTGGGAGCCTCTGCCGTCCCGGAGCCCGGTGCTGTTCTGGGAGGGGCACAGCTGTGGGGGCCTGTGCCTCCTCTGCAGCCAGGACTCCTCCCTCTATTCTGGCCGACTCCCCAGCTTGGTCCACGCCAGCGCCAGCTCCAGGTGACATCCTCCACGATCCCCCTGGAGTGCTCCACCCTGGGAAATCCCAGGTTGCTGGCGCCCACCTGTCCTGCCTCCCCCTTCCCGGCCTTGCATGTGTGGGAAAGACCAGCCTCATCCCCCAGGAACAGGGAGCTACTCCCCACCTGCCTCTTTACCATCTCCCTAGAGGGAGAGGGATGGAAGACAGTTTAAAGAGCCATTAACAACACTGGTCAACAACAACTCCAGTCAGCCTAGTAGGAACCAGAGTCCCAAGAGAGTGGCAAACCTGAGTTCACCTTGGCGTGTCTGATAGGGAGGTGGAGAGGGATCAGACCCAGGGCGCCAAGGGTGGGGCAGGCGAAGGCGGGCTCTCCTTTGAGTAACAGGAGGGTCCCAAGGGCATGCCCAGGAGAGGGCAGAAGAGAGAGGAGAGAAAAAAACAACAGAGAGACTCCAGAAAAACACCTGACAGCTACTGTACCAGCTCTTAGCATTTATAGCATTCCAGTTTGGGCCTATTGTGATGAGCCTAGCACCCCCAAAAAATAAAATAAGGGAAAACACCTAAGAAATGTTCCCAAGGAATGGCAGTGCTGCCCCTTGTTCCCAGCAACCCTTCTAGGAACACCAGGATCCCACAGAATGTGTCACAAGGAGAGAGGCTGCAACCCACAGCCTCCCTGAGGCCCCACGAGCATGAGAAGGAGTCGAAGAGAAAAGGGCACTGCCCTGGGCCTGGTGGCCAAGAGCCCCTCTTGGAAAGTCTCAGGAGGCTCAAAAGCTCAGCCCAGGAAGCTGGGATGCTGAATCCTTGGGGAGGGGACACGGGTTTCCGGCACACAGAATCACCCTGACTTATTCAACAAGAGGCCTTGGGAGCTTCCTTAGCAATTACTACCTTCCCACTCAGCTCCGTGCCTGGCTGGCCACTAATAATTTATTACAAATAAGTCTCATCGCTCCAATAAGACAATCAGCTCTTCTGCCTCCCAAGTCCCTCCAGAGTGTAGCACAGCTGGGCACCCAGCTGGTCCTCATTAACATCCTTCTGGGCCTGAATCTTCCTCCACTTCCTGGCCCCACCTCTATCCTGCATTCCAGCAACTGGCCCAGGGGGACGGAGCCACCAGGTCACTCACTTCTCTTCACTTGTCTAAGAGCTGGACTGGTAGATGCTAACAAAGGAAAGTGAGAGCTTCTGAGTCCATAGATCTGACTGAGAGCCCAGCCAAAGATATTGGGAGCTTCTGGAATCTAAAATAATAAGCAGGAAATCACTGTTAGCAAATTCCCTAATTAGGGTACTCTTTAATTCTCCTATGGAGATATTCATTTGTGAGGTTTAAGTCAGACCATGAATCTCAGGGAGAACTGGAAATAGCTATGAATATTGCCTGAGAAGCATCTCTGGCAGGAGCCTCTAAATTTCCTGGGTTTGGGGTTACCTTATCTATAAAAAGTAGGCATGACAATACACTACTATAGGCAGGTGACTAACTTAGGTGATCTGATCAAGTACCTCCCAATTCTATACTTCTGTGAATATTGGACCATTTCATTCATGCCTGTGCAAGATAGTGATGTGAATTTAGAATTAAAAAACCCACAGTTCAGATCCTGGCTCTGGTACTAACTAGCTGAGTGGCCTTGAGGGAGTCACTTAATCTCTCTGAATTAATTTTCTTGTCTATAAAATGGGGACAATAATGATAATGTTGTCACCACATAGATGTGAGATCCTACACATGAACATGTTTTATAAACTGAAAACCACTATTCAAATACTGCTGATTATTAATAGATCATAATGGCTGTAATAAAAAAAAACTTACCTTTATATAAGCAAATACTTATGGTGAACATCAAAAAAATATATAGCTGATGGATTTGCTGTTAACTCTTTCCTGCCCAGGAATACCTGCTGCCTGTCACTGCCTCCTGACTTGGGGACCGACAGGAGCCAGGTAGTAAATGCTGATCTCAAGTTGGAGGCTAGAGGTGTGGGCTCTAGAGACACAGGGTGAGGCTACTTTGCCATCCATCAAAAACTCATTCACGTTGCTTCTGCAATTTGATAGCAGACTGCTAGCAACCTCTTCCCCAGAAAATAAACTGACAGCAAATTTAGGCCTTTTTTTTTTTTAAGTGCAATTCATGTGAAGGGAGTAGACCCTCCAGGAATGAATAATCAATGGTACAATCCCTCAAAAAATATGCTGATAAATATACAAAGTTCTGTTATTACGAAGCACTAATTGCATTTCCTTGGGTAAGCACCATACAAAATTCACTGCAGTTTTTAGAAACAAGATGCCAATTGCATTTTAATTGCTAGAGAGGAGGAGAGAGGAGGAAAATGCTAACTGGACATAAACTCAGAAAGAGATCTCCCCAAGCCAGAAGGCCCATTACTAAAATAAGAGCTAAGGACAGATGAGCCTCATGGTGGAGACCAAACATTCCCTAAGAGAGCATTGGCTTAAGTGGTTCTCAGACTTGAAGCCTCAGAGCCCCTGAACAGCTGAGGCTCTTCATTGCAGAATATGACACATAGATTTAACAAATTGAAAGAATTAAAAAAAATAAGCACATGCCAAAATTCTTTAGCACATGAGCTAAGAGTCGGCACCGAAGCTTCAAGAAGCATATATGAGAGAAAAATTGCAATTCTATCCCTTAACACGTATGAGAGAGAGAACGCGCACTGGACAAGACCATACATCACTTTAATAACAGAACTCCCTAGACCAGTTCACGGAGCTGTCATTTTAAAACCGACACCCTATACTGACTGCAACCTCCTTGTTTTCCAGTGCCAGAGCCAGATGTGAACAGGAAGCAGCGAGACCAGCAGGGAAGTGGAGGGGGTCCTGACTCCCATGGGCCCAGCCTCAATTCCATCTGCCCAGGAGACTCTGAGCCAGGGAATCCTCCAGGGAGGCACTTAGCCCACCCGAGGGCGCAGGGAGAAGGTAGGACAGGGAGCAGCCCTAAGCACCCTCCCAAAACATGCACACAGGGGGCTGGGGAGGGGAGAGAGCAGAAGGGCAGGCTCCCAGCTGCTTCCAGAAGCCTCTTGGTCTCCAGCTCCTGCCTCCCTCCTTCTCCCCCTCATCCCTCAGCACCCCCACCATTCCCACCCCAGCGTCAGCCTCTCTCCTGCTGTCCAGGAGAGAGGCAGGGACTCTGAAACCAGGGCCTGAGAGGAGAGGCCCAGCGGCCCGCCAGCTGGCCTGCGGGTGGTGACTGTCTCTCTCCGCAGTGGTGGGATATCCGCGCCTTCTGCACGCGAGGCTGCTGCTTGTCCTCCACCTAGTGGACCTGCTGGAGACCCCAGGACACGTGAGGCTGGTGTACAGCGAGACTGGAGGAAACAGCAGGACTTAGGAGGGAGTCCTGGACCCAAAGAAAGGGCTGGATCCACAACGTGGCTCTACCACACACCCGCCAAGCCACTTTTATTTGAGTAAATCACTTAACCATTCAGAACCTCGACTTTAACTTCTATCAAATGGGGCTAAAAATATCTGCTGCTTGTAAGATTTGAATGAGAGGATGGATATATACATCCCCTGTAAACTCTAAAGTTTATTATCTACCCCCTGCCCCTATGCCCAGCCTTGGAAAAACATGCTTTTCATTACCATGCCCTGCATTTGTAAAATACTTGCTACAGATAATGTGTATGAAACACTACAGATCGCTCGCTCTAAGTCAGGCACTGTGATAGACATTGTACAGGTCTTATCTGTTTTAATCATTACAATAGCAGATAAGGCAGACAGGATGGCTATTACCAGGAAACTGAGGTTTACCAAGGTTAGGAACTTGCCAAAGGCCACATAGGAAATGGCAGATCTGGGACACAAACTCAGGTCTGCTCTTGCCCAGTTGATGCTTAAATTGATAGAAACTCAATGCATTCAATGTTACAAGCATCACATCCTTCACCCACTCTGGGGACCATTCCCCAGTCCTTTCCCCAGCCTTCAGCAGGGCCCAGGTGTGAGGAGTGAGGTTTACAGTGTCTGAGGAGCAGGTCCTTTAGAAACCTCCCTGTCCCACTCCTGCCCCCACACTCACCTGAGCTGTGTCATGAATCCAGTCCAGGAACTCGGTCACCTTGGCGTAGACACCTGGGTGGTTGGGCTCTGCACAGCCACGACCCCAGCTGACCACCCCCACGAGGCGCCATATGCCACCATCTGGGCACACCAAGGGTCCCCCACTATCCCCCTGAGAGATCCAAGCACGAAGACACAGAGAAACAGCCAGTTAGTCCCTCCTAGTGGAGAGCACCAGACCTGCATGGGGAATGGACTCTCCTTCCAGGGCCCCTCCTGCTTCCGGCTGGAATACCTGGGGGCCTCACCCCTCTGCAAACGCTTAACATGAGCTCCAGACTTGCCTAGGTGCCCCCCTAACTCCTAGCGAGGCTGTCTGGCACCACGGACATACTCAGACCAGGGGGCCAAGCCACGACAGGCCCTGCCCCCACCACCCTGGGGCACACCTGGCACGCGTCGGCCCTCCCGTCCAGGTAGCCGGCGCACAGCATGCGAGGGGTGAGGGCTCCGCCATACACACAGGAGCTGTTGCAGAGCTGCGTGCTGAGCAGCGGCGCCACCATGTCCCGGAGCATGTCTGAGCTGTGGGCTGAGGGAGACACCGAGACAGGCTGCAGGGCGCAAAGCAAGACCCAGGGAGGCAGAACAGCAAGAGGGGAGGTGATTAGAGGTCCCAGAGACACGGACGCCCAAAAAGGGAAGCCCAGGCTGGGGGCTGTGGACCCTGGACAAGCAGGCAAGGGGCTGTCAGTCTTGGGGACTGGGAATGGGAAAAGGAGTAGGACTCACACACACCAAACGCTGAGGCCATGGTGCTCCTGGGACAAAGGGAGGGGAGTAAATGGGCTTGGATGTGAAGAAAACTTTCCGTGGTGGTTCTCCCAGGAAGGCCCAGGCAGGGGAGACTGGGGCCCCCAGGTCTGGCCAAGGGCAATGTCAGGGACAAAGGGGGCTGGTACTGCCATGTGGCCAGGGGAGGTGGAGGAGCCTTACCTTGGGGAAGGAAGCCTCCCTCCCACGTCCCCTTTGCAGCGAGGGCCCTGGGAGCTGACTCACTATGGCTGGGATCGGTGTGGCCCCAGCCAGACACCCAGCACTGGGAGCCCCTTGGGAAATGCTGCTCCTCGGCTGGCAGGCACACGGCACCCACGCTGTCTGCGGAGAGGCACGTGCTCCCTCTCAGGCTCGGCCGCCCCCCTGCAGAGCCTGGGTGACCCAGCGTGGGCAGATCCGCCTCACCCCCCTTCTCAAACAGTCTTGGATCCTAGCCTCCACCAGCCAGGCCTCCTAGGTGGCTGTGCATTGTCCCACCAGGGGGGTCACCGTCCACAGGAGACAGTGTGCAAACTGCAGTGTGCATGGCGCCCTCTAGGGGTGGGCAGTGCGGGTGCTGCCCACTCCCAACCTAGGGACTGAGGAGAGAACTGGACATTCCTTCTGCCTGTGGGTCCCCGACTTCTAACAAGGACCCATTTGGCTTTTCCCCAGGGTGTCTAGTCCCTCAGTGTTTCCAAAAGTGTGTGAAATGTCCTACAGCCATGACTTTAGGTAGTACATAGACATGCCATTAAATAAACACAAATTCACCTGGGAAGAATGCTATTTCCTTTAAATTCTCTTTCAGTCCCTCTACCTGCATCAAGGAAGAAGACTCCATTTGGCGCTGGTCTGTACTGCTCTTAATGCCTGTCAACCTCCCATCTAACCAGGAGACAGCAGGCCAGGCACAGGAACTTCTACAGAGACTCGGCTACCTAGGCCTTGTACACTGGTTTGTTTTCACACTATGTATTTTTGTAGTTACCATCTATTTACTATAAGTAATATAGGTTCTCTAGTTGCGTGGTTTTCCCTTTTAAACATTCCTTAAGAAAGTATCCTTAAGTCAACTTAGAAAAATTAACTATTGGACAATAGTTCACTTATATGATGAAATTTGTGAAATGCGTGCAGCAATGACTCTTGTTTTGGGAAACCTAAGGCAACAGGTGACAACTTGAGGCAGGAGTGCCGTGTATCGTGAGTGTGAGAGTGTGTGCACAAGTGTTCATGTTAGAGTAGGTGGTGTTGGCGTGTGTGCATGAAAGTGAGTGTGTGTGAGCACGTATGTGTGAGTCTGTGCATGTGACTGCCTGAGTGCATGTGTGTGTGTGTGTTTCTGTGAGCGTACACGTTTGCAGGTGAGTGCCCATGTGCACCTGTGTGTGTCGGGGAGGGCAGCTGCTGAGACAGCCGCAGCCTGGGCTCACCTCCTAGGGCAGGTGCTGTGGCAGGAGGAGCCCTGACATCAGGCTCAGGAACTGTCTGCTGCATGACCTTGATGAGAGTCACCTCCTTCCCCAAACTAAAGTGTCCTTGTCTGTCTATACACCTGTTCCCTCTACCTGTCAGTGTTGTCATGAGGATTGAAAGAAAGGATATTTGGAAAAATGAAAGAAATCTCATGAACTTTAACAAGTCACAAAATGGCTGGGACCTGGAACCAGCCAGGGGACAGGGGTGGAGCAGCCTATTAATGGATGGGACAGCTATGAAGCCTCCTTGGGACCCCAAGGCAAATCCCGCTTGCAGCCCAGCTGTGAAAAGGACTTGAAATTTTGTCCCCAAAAGAGCTTGTATAAGAGTTAGTACAACTTAAGATCCAGGTGATGCCAAAATTCACTATGGTCCCTAAATTAATGGAACGTTTTAAGGTTTACAATGCTCAGAGGAAACCTTGGAAGTCACCTAGCCCCCTCTCCTGCTCAGCCCCCACCCTCTCTTACCACAGCCCCCAGCCTGCCCACCCCGGGGCCAGCGCCTTACCTGAGAAGCTGAGCGGCGTGCGCAGCCGCAGGAGAGCGACATCATAGTCATGATTCCGGGTGCTGTAGAAGGGGTGGGGGATGATCTTCTCCACCACAGCCCCCTGGTGTGGCCTGATGGCGCTGTGGCTGACCAGTCCTGTGTGAACCCGCCAGCTGGACAGGCGGGACAGCCTGAAACTGCACACAGGGGCCGTGCTGAGCCGGGGGAGGAAGGGGCAGAAGACGTCAACGTAAGAGAGGGGGTGGTGGAGGAAGCTGGCCAGCGAGGCCACTAGTGGGTGCCCCATCACCAGGCTGCAAGCTCCCAGGACCCAAGGATCATGCCTTAGTATCACGCCAGAAGCTGGCAAGACACTGGGCATGCAGTAGGTGCTTAATAAATGCTCAAGGACCGATGGATAGAGGAGTGAGATGCTATGGGTCATCTGCAACCACCACTCCCACTCTCCTGCATAACTCCGTCACATGGAAAGTGATTTAATTACAGTGGTCATAAACATGAAGATGCACAAGGTGCTGTGAATGTGAAAGTAGTTTAAACGCTTAAAAGCTGACGAATATAAAGAGCAACTGTATTATTACTGTTATTTGTGCAGATCTGTTCTTGACACCTAATGGGGAGAACTTCACAGACACCAACCTTGCCTACTTCGAGCAGAAAACTGAAGCAGACAGCTGGACACGGACATTTGATACAGGACATGCCAAGAAAAGGCCTGAACAGAAAAGGCCACTGAGGCCCTCTACTTCCCGGCAGCCCGAGGGACTTGCCTGTACATGCAATGGGCGGCAGTCACCACCCAGTGTGGCGACAGCACAGAGGCCCCGCACGTGTGCCGGGAGTCCAGGGTCACGCTGGCATGCCACGGCCAGCGCCCAGGAGCCGCAGCCTGCCCACCGACTATCCGGGAAGCCAGGGGCCTCGCTCCACACTCTGCCAACAGAGAAGGGTGAGACAGAAAGACAGTGGGTGTAAAGATGGTCCTAGCTCCCAGGGAGTGTGGCCCAGTGCCAAGCCCCAGAAAGCCAGTGAGGACAGCTCTCATTTCTTATTCCTGGTCAAGTTTGGGCGACAGGAAGGTACAAGTGTTGATTACGCACCTGCCTGCCCCATCAGGCTGTGGGCCTGCTGAGAGCAAGCACTAAGTCTGCATTGTCTGTGCCTAACAGAAGGCCCAGCCCACACTGCGGGCCAAAGCGTTGGTTTGTGGGTGACGTGTGGAAGGACAGACGAAGAGATGGATGGATAGATGAATGGGAGGAACAGATGGAAGGAGTGCCATGGATGGTTTCCCATTTGGCTCCCAATCCACCGCCTGCCCTTGGTCTCCTGAAGCAAGTTACTCAATACAGTCACAATACCACCTTTGGGGCTCTCCGGAAGAAAGGGGGGTGACGTCAGAGGCCAAGGAGAGAGTGGCAGGCAGTGAGGTCAGGCTTAGAAAGGGCATCTGCTAGAAGGAGCCCGGCAGACAGATAGCAGGGGGACAAGGACTCCCCCAGACCCAGCTGAGCCTCTCCAATGGGGCTTTTCCACACTCAGGGCAGCGGGAACACTCCTTCCTCCCACCGCCACCTTCCTGGATCTAAGGCATCACTCACCAGAGCATTTGAGGGAAACGACTTGGCCGGAAGTGCAGTTGTTCCTGCAAAACAGAGGCGCCAGCCAGAAGCTGGGCAGGGGCCCAGCCTGCAGCCACACACGCCCAGAGGCATGGAGGAGGCGGTGGTTGGTGGACAGTTCTTAAGGCTGCCATGTAGCCAAAGCTTTAAGAATACCCCCATTTCCTTCCTGCCCCCGGCAAATGCCTGGTCCCCTGGTCACGGCCAGTCCCTGGGACAGCAGCAGCCTTCTGCCCAGTCTCCCACAGGACGACAGAAGGACTTCATGGTCCTCAAGGGGCGATTTGAGTAGGGCCCAAACATACAAACAGAGCATGATTTATAGGTGAGAAAGACCAGCTGTTCCCACTGCGTAGCTGTGAATAAATACGTACTCACTGGAGGAACGAAGGGGCAAGTGAGTGAATGAGTGACTAGAGCCCTTCACCCCGTGCGCCTTCCTCTGCTTACTGTCTTCTCTGCCCCTAGCCCTTGTCTGGGCGCTGCATATTCCTATTCTTGCTCCCCTCTTTCCCTCCTCTCTGTTAGCACAAGCCTCAATTCCTTTTTGACCAAAACCCTGTTCTCTTTCTCTACTCATCTCTTGCCCCCAGCAGCCCAGTGTCTGCATCCTCTTAGTTCCTTCCGGTTTTCCAAGCCCACAGCCCTTCCAGCTCTCCTGGAGGAGTCAGTCCCACCCCTACTTCCTACTTGTCCATTCAGTCCCACCCCAAGGCAGGAGCCCAGCCAGAACCCCTCCCATCGCCAGCCACATTCCTGAGATCAGACCCTAGGGACAGGTGCTGGACAGGGGGGCCTGAGAGAAGAGTTCAAATTGGAATCATGGTAAAGAGGGTGGCCCCCCTGTCTACCTCAGGAGGCTGCTGGGCAGCTTGAGGAAGCCCAGGAAGGGCAAAGACCCTCCCCCAGGGTTTGGGGAAGGGACTGCTCCATTCCAGAGCCTTCTTTTCCAGAAGACTCTCCACGCTATAAGCAGCTCTTAGCCAGAACAGCTCAACCATCTCTCTCCCTCCTGAAATATCAGAATGATCCAAGTAAAGTGTGGCAGCGTTGAGAGAGTACCTAGTTTGGAAATAGGAGCCTGGTTTCAAGGCTCGGCTGGATTGCGTATTAGTTACGTGACTTTGGACAAGACCCTTTAACCTCGTTAAGCCTCAGTTTCCTGACCTGTGAAATGGGGATGAGAGTACTATTTCAAATCCTGTGACAATAACAACCCACACTGCATTATTTGCAAGGGGCGAATAATGTATGTGAAGCCGGGACGGGCAGGGATTGTGGGAACTGTGTCTGTAATCGCTGATCAGGAAATGTTCCTCTTCGTCCTCCTGTCTTAGACTGCCAGTGTCCCCACCTCCAGGCTCCCATGAAAAGAATATTTTGGCTGGACTGATCACCAGGAAGTAAGAGACCCCACTCACCTAACCTCCTCAAAAGCCCTACCTGGGCTGCCACACCTCCTCCTGGAAGCCTCCCAGTCTAGGAGAGAGCTGAGCGAACTCCTGGGAGCTGTTCAGCTCGATGTCAGTCAAGTTTACTCCCTTGTCATAAGTGAGTCTTGGCAGAAGGGAATAGAACAGCAGGAAATCACAACCAGAATGTACACGAGATGTTATACCAGTATGACGACTGAGAAAGTCTGCGACGATAACTTCTTCTGGGATTTCCGTTTGTCACAAAGCAGCGATGCCCAAAAGAGAGAAACCAGCTGGGGCACCATCATGCCCAGAGGCCAGAAGATGCCAAAATGGCCACTTCCTGAGCACACTGACCGTGATGGGCAGACAGAGGTCCCCGAGTCCCCTGCCCCTGCCCACCAGCCCTCCACCCTTCCTGACCCAGGACTGACTCCCGTTACCTGAGGTGCCCGAGGCTCCGGCAGACTCGCAACCCCAGGGCGGGGCTCCAGCCCTCGTGGCAGACCAGGAGCCAGTCCGACCGGGCCCCCACTCGCACTTCCAGCAAGAAGCCCTGCCTGTCTGTCCTGAAAGATACTGAAATCACAGCGTGAAAACCACCTCCCACCTGCCTCGGGGGTCAAGAGAAGAGAAGACGGTGGCAGGGTAGGACCGGAGGAGCTGAACTTGGGACTCCGTGGGACCTGAAGAGGCCTTAAGGGCAGCATCTGGGTCACCCAGTGTCAAGCTCCCTGCTCTCCAGGGTGGCAGGCCAATCCCAAGAACAACATAACCCCTGTTTGTGGAGCATTTCCGTTTTGTATTTTAACCAAGTGCCTTTAAACGTGCTCCAGCACACATTGTCACAGCGGCCCTGTGACACGGACATCACCGCCTCTCCGTTCTGCAGACGCTAGGCCTTGTCCCCATCCTCACACAGATGACAGATGGCTGGCAGTGAACGGACGGCCCTCCATGTTGGCCCTCTTGCCCCCATCTGCGAAGGGCCCTGGGCCGGGGAGGTGTCCCGTAGCCTTGGGGGTGTGGCCCACCTGGTCTGGGAAGTGCAGGGAGCAGAGCTTCCTCGCTGCTGGCCTCTGAGCAGCCCAAAGGCATCTCCTCATCCTGCAATGTCCGGGAAACGGGCTGAGAGGCAGCTGGCCATAGGTACAGCACTTCAGAGAAGGACAAAGAGAGGGTCACAGAGAAGAGGCTGGGAGAAAGGGAGAGATTCCCAAAGAAAGGGAGTCAAGGCGCAGAACAAAACACTCCTGGGCCAGAGGCAAAAGCAGCCACCCTGCCTTGGGGCAGGTCCCCAACCAACCCCCGGGGAGAGGCGCAGCACTCTGTCTCTTCCGTCTGTCTCCTTCCTCTTCCCCTCTTGACTTTGTCTTCTCTTTCTCCATTTCTGTCTTTCTCTCTGTCTCTCTGTGTCTCTTTCTCTTTTTTTGTCTCTCTGTGCATATGTGTATGTCTTCCCTGTCTCTCTTCCTCTCTCTGTCTCTCTCTCTCTCATTGGGAATGATTTCTAGAAAAAATTTGACCAGGGCCTTCCTGGATCATATGCTTTTCCCTGGGGGGGGGCTAAAACGTTCTTCTTCATGCAGAACCTAAATCCCTCCTGCTGCAATTTTACACCTTCTCCCTTTGTTGTCTACACAATGTAGGTGAGGAAAACACTCCTCTCATTTACCTTTAACACCTGCTCAGCACCTGACTCTCTCTTCCAGCTGCCCCCAGGTCCTGTTCCTTGTCCCTCCCCAGACCACAGAAGGGCCCCCAAGCACTGACCTATGAGCCAGGAGCCGACACCCACACCGGCCAGCAGCCCCAGGGCTCCCAGCATTGCACAGCCACGCCGCACGGAGCACCAGCGCCCTGCCTGAGAGACTGTGGGACAGGGAGGGGGGCAGCTGGGTCCTCTGCTCCTGCCAGCCATACTGTAAGCCAGGCCCCACCACAGGGCGAGGCACCAGGGAGCTCCGTGATCCATCAGTGTGGAATGGGTGGGGGCAGGGTCCTGCTCCCAGAAGCCCACGGGGCCCCATCAATCCCCAAACAGCAAGCAAAAGCAGGTCTGGGGACAGTGAGTGAGACAGCCCCCACCACAGATCATGTGGGGCCAACCCAAGGAGGATCCCGGGAACACAGGAAGATTACCCTCCACTGCCCCCCACCCTGTCATTCCCCTCCTGCCCGGTCTGGCCTACCAGGTTGCTGCTGGTCTCCCGGCTCTGCTGTGAAGATCCCCGGTCCTGGCCCCTCCTCTGCGTACTGAGCCTCCACAGGGACATGGTCGGCCAGCATGAGGCTCTGGGGAAACAGCAGTCAGACACCCCAGATCCCCACGTCAAGGACTGTGAGAGAAGACCCAGGCCACACCAAGTCCCCGTTCTCTAACTCCATCACGCCCTTGCTGCTGCTTGCAAGCCTTCATTCATCTTTGGAGACTCCTTGTATGTCCCGACAGATGCCCCTCCAGGCCATCTCTGCTCTCCTGGACCCCTTAACCCCACCCACTTTACTGTCACATGGCCAGTAAGTGTCAGAGCAAAGACTTGAATCTGGATTTGGCCACACACTTTTTTTTTTTTTTTTTTTCTGAGACAGAGTCTCGCTTTGTTGCCCAGGCTAGAATGAGTGCCGTAGCATCAGCCTAGCTCACAGCAACCTCAAGCTCCTGGGCTCAAGCAATCATCCTGCCTCAGCCTCCTGAGTAGCTGGGACTACAGGCATGTGCCACCATGCCCGGCTAATTTTTTCTATATATATTAGTTGGCCAATTAATTTCCTTCTATTTTTAGTAGAGATGGGGTCTCGCTCTTGCCCAGGCTGGTTTCAAACTCCTGACCTTGAGCAATCCACCCGCCTCGGCCTCCCAGAGTGCTAGGATTACATGTGTGAGGCACCATGCCCGGCCTTGGCCACACTCTTAACCACTCCCTCGTCTCGCCTCCCATGAGCATCAAGTCACCTGCTGAAGTCCCTTGACATCCTGCTCAGGCTGCAGCTCCCACCCTCTGCATTCTCTCCTATCTCAGAGGGAAAAGTACCCCTCCTCCATGCACCCACCCACACCCCTATGCATATGGTAGATTATTTAGCACAAGTGCACAGGTCACTGTGGGGGAATTGTGGACACTACAGCGTCCAAAATAAATCAGCATGGACCACCCCTCCCCAACTGCCTCGAAGAATCTGCAGTCTAGGCCTGAAGGGCAGTCATGTAAACAAAGCACAACATGTTAAGTAACAGAAGAAAAGTTCAGCCACACTAACATCATCATTCAAAAGAACAAGAGCTTATTTCTCCCTGAGGAGGAAGGAAGGCTTCCTAGAAGAGGCAGCCTGAGACAGGCCCTGATGGATGAGGAGGGTTTGAACTTAAATATATGGGCACTGGGTAGTCCAGGCAAGGAGAAGATAGGGAAAGGCACAAGGGGAGAAGAACAGAGCAGAGAGAGTCATCCCTGTGCCTGAAGCTCTAAGCCCTGGGGAGTAATGAAAATAACTCTGGACAGTTCCAAGCTACGCCTACTACCTACTATGTGGACTTGGACCACTCGGGTCATCTCTCCAAACTTCAGTGTTCTCATTTATAAAATAAGAGTGATAACTCCTATTTCTTGATGAAGAATCTCCCTCCTCTAGTGTCCTGTCGCCCTCTATTATCCTCCACACGATAAAGCCAGAGTAATCTTTCTAAAATGCAGATACAAGCACACGCACCCCACCTGTAAGGTCCCCAGTGAATATCTGTAGCCTTCAGGATCAACCCAAAGCTCCAAGGCATGGCTCACGGGGTGCTCCGTGATCTCTCCCTGCCTCGCCTCTCCATCCTCACAGCCAGGACTAACTCCCTCCAGAGCAGAAGCTGGGGTCACACCGACATGCAAGCCATTCCTCAGCACCTGTGGGCACTCTCACCCCACGGAGACTTTGCACCTGCTGTCCCCTCCCCCATGTGGCCGACTCCTACTGACTCTTCAAGACTCAGCGTAGACATCACTTCTCCAGGGAGCTTCCTTCTTTGCATACAGCACCGGTTGTGGCCCTGCGCCGTGCTCATTCACTCTCTCTCTCCTTCCTTAACTGGTCTATGCTTCCCAGGGCCGAGCTCAGGCCCTGGCACAATGTGGTTGTTCAGTTACAGTGCATTGAGGAAGGGAAGGCAGGCAGGCAGGCTAAGCAAGATAATGTGATTGAAATGGCTTTATCGGTTATAACACACAATGCAAATCTCAAGTATAATAATATTAATAAGGAATACATATAAGCTGTGGATCCTTCCCCAAGAAATTTGTAATCCAGTAGATAAGACCCCTTAAAACTGAAGTTGACTTCCATCTCTCCTGAAGACCACCTTTCCCTGCCTGTCAACACCCAATGATCACAAAAGCCTGAAACGCTTGACTCCAAAACAATGTTAGCTTAAATATGATTTTCAGATGTTATGTGGAATGTTCTTTTCACACCAAAACCCTCCCAGTCCTGCCTTTGTGCTCCACTGAACTGGCCTTCCTGACCCTCTGGCTAGGGGAGGAAAGTGTTTGTCACACTCACTCAGGTCAGTCACCTCTGAATCACCATGAAAATCATTCCACTGGACCCATGAGCATCCATGCCAGTTCAGTCACAGACAAGACAGCAGCCAGTTGAGTCACAAACTCACAAATGGAACAGCGGCCCAACACCTTCCCAGTGGAGTAGGGCAGCGGCCCCACCTCCCCGTCCCCTGCACCAATCACAGCCCGGGACCTGGAGCATTGCCCTCCCAGCGGCGCAGACCTTGCTTCCGTGGAGGAAACGGGCATGGCTTGCATACTGCCACACACGCGCTATTTCTCGTGCCTGGAGATGAGCCTCCTAGGCGGTGGGTGACGAGGCTGGAGGACGGCAGGCTTGGGAAAGCCAGTCAAGCTCCCGTGAGAAAGTGGAGAAGCGGCAACGGAGTGTGAGCTGTGGGTTTCTTCTCTGGGCAAGTGGTTTCGGTTAAGCCGATGTCCCCATGAGCAGAGAGGCAGGCTAGTCCAGAGAGAATCCCAGGGCACACCCAGCCTTTCCTCCTGTGTCAGTATCAAGAGAGCTTGACTTTGAACTCAGCCTGTGCACCAAATGGCCTCACTGCAGATGCTGCCCTGCCTCAAAACCCAACCTGGGGAAAAAATGGCCTTTAATGGTACCAGGATTCCTTGGTCCTCTTTTCCAATGGGCGTTCAATGTAACAACGATTTGCTAAGCACTGCCTATGTGCCAAGCACTGGATAGGTCTGTGAGAATAAAAGGCAGCCCCCAGGGAGAAAACAGGGGTTTGGCCAAATGGGGCCCCAGCTAGGATCTAGCACTTGTACCTGAGCTGTCCCAGGAGGTTCTTTCCATTGGCCTAGAATCCCAAGGCCAGAAGGAAGAGAGAGAGAGAGGCCCAGGCAGGGATGGCACAGGGATGGCCTTACCGTAGTGGTCAGTGGCACTGCTGTAAAGTTTCAGGGTCTGCTAGTCAGCGTCTTGCTCCTGTTCTCAGCTGGCCTTGATTAAATAGCCCAGCTAGCTTGATGATGAGGTCTTCCAGGTCCACACACGGCCCTTCCCTGTCGCCTCTCTCCACACACTCACACAGACGCCTGCCAGAGGGACAATGAACCCTGCTCAGGACCCATGAATAGGCCCCTTGTTGCAGGAAAGGGGGCCAAGGGCTAGGCTGGGTTGGGCAACCCCAGCCCCTCCCATCTGTTAACTGGCAGCTCAGAAACAGAAAAAGGTTACCAGGAGGAGGGGAGGCCAGCTACTGTTGCTTAGCGACCAGGGATCTTGTGCCAAAAAGTGTGCCCCATGCAATTCTCCCTTCTTGCTGACGGGACTGCACTACAGACACTGATATTAGCACTCATTGAAATGTTTCTAAGCCCTCTGCGGCTTGGCTTTCCTAGCAGTCTGGGGCCGTTACCATGTGGAGCTTTTGGGTGATGATGAGGAATGTTTGTCACCTCTTTCCCCCGGGCTGCACCTGTCACCCCCAATACCAGGGAAGTGGAGCCTCTCCACCCTGTGTCCCCTGAGAGCCAGCTGTCACAGGAACCCTCAGTGCTGTCTTGGTTCAGAGCACAGGGTGACCCAGCCAAGCCCAGGTTGTGCTGAACACACCTGAGACCCACACACGTCTCCTTAGACATGGAGGCAGAAGGGCTCCCAGGGAAGGGAAAGGCTAGTGGAGCTTCCCCTCCTCCAATCAGCCTCTTATCGATCGCTCGGATGGGACAGCTAAGAACACGGGCTTCAGAGTCAGGCCTTCATCCAGCCCCAGTTCTCCTACTTCCCTTACTCAGCCTCACCTGTAAAATGAGGATAATAGTACCTACCTTGGAGGGTTGATGTTGGAATTAAACTTTTTCTTTTTTTATTTTAACCTGCTCCCCAGAAAAGTAGATGTTAGAATTAAACAAGATATTGAAATAAAGCTCTTTGGCTGAGCGCGGTGGCTCACGCCTGTAATCTTAGCACTCTGGGAGGCAGGCGGATCACTCAAGGTCAGGAGTTCAAAACCAGCCTGAGCAAGAGTGAGACCCCATCTCTACTGAAAATAGAAATAAATTAATTGACCAACTAAAAGTATATATACAAAAAATTAGCCGGGCATGGTGGCGCATGCCTATAGTCCCAGCTACTTGGGAGGCTGAGGCAGGAGGATCGCTAGAGCCCAGGAGTTTGAGGTTGCTGTGAGCTAGGCTGACGCCATGGCACTCTAGTCCCGCCAAAAGAGTAAGACTCTGACTCAAAAAATAAAAAAGAAAGAAAGAAAGCTCTTAGCCTGGGGTCTATCACAGAATGTATTCAGTAAATAGCCACTGCTAAACCTCATCCACACAGGGTTTATTTTAACTTTTTTCCCTATTTTTCTCATACACTCAGTGTGCCAACTCTGATGGTCATCACAGAGCTCTCCACACACAAAACAATGCAGAGACAGACTTCAGCCATGAGTTATAGAAGGAGGAGGAGAGAAAGGGGGGCTGGAGCTGAGAATCTCCTGGCTAGACTCTGCGGTCTCCTAGGACAATACTCCTCAGGCTACAAACCTGAATATCTCTGTGGGTCAGGAACTGGCCTGGGCATGGGGGATGAACAAGTCATAGACGGGGCATCTATAGGCTGGAAAAGAGACAGAAACAGATATAAATAATTGTTATTTGTAGAAAGTGAAAACAGCCAAGGCATGAACACAGAGACATGGGAGAACAGAGGAATAGCTGACTCCTTTGCCCAGAAGCCTTCACAATGGAGGAGACATTTGAGCTGAGTTTTGAGAAGTAAGAAGGCAATCACAGAGAAGGGCATTTAAAATATATTGCATGTGATGTCAATGAAAATGGCAAAAATCTCTGAAAATTCCCTTCTCCAGGAAAACAATGAGAAAACTGGCAAAAAAAAAAAATGGTCAGAATCAACTTTTTCAGAGCTATAAAAATTAATCAAAAGCCTTCAGCAATCTGGGAAGTGTTTATTCAAGAAAAATGACATAATTTCTGTATGAACAATGAGCTTTGTGGCATTTTAACTTGCTCTAATTCCATCCCCCTCACTCCAACTCTGCAGTAGCCTTGAAAACCAGCATTCCATGATCACAACAGAAAACAGCAGTCTGGCAGCTACAAGAAAGGGTAGAACAGGCTTGGAGCGCCTTCAAAGCCTCCTAGCCAGAGAGTTGTCATTATTTTACCTGTCTGGTGTGCCCCTGGAAGTTCCCATTTGCAAGGCTGTCTTTATTTGACCTGAATTGGAGCTTGTCCAGGGTAAACAGCTTTTTCCCTAAGGGTGTTTGTTAAAAACAATTGGAGACAATTGTTGGATTTTGTGACAACCTGAGACAGTAGATAATAGTTGGAGTGAATAATAGGCTAACCAAAAACCTTACAAGGAAAATCTGGGGAATGAGATGTCTACGTGGGGCTTTGAAAGGCTCCAAAATATACCTGGGAATCTAGAAAGCCACGTACACATGCATAGGACTGTGTACATGCCCAGGGCTGTGCACATGTGTAGGAAAGGCCTAAGGAAGGACTTAAGCTCTCACCCCTGGCCAATCCTGAGGCTCTGTATGAGCAGGAGGGCTAAGGCAGAGTTGTAAACTTCCTGTCTGAGTGTTGAAGTCATGGCCCCAACATATACACAGAGCCTCTCTGCAACAACCGGTCAACTTATTGGTTCCAAACATCAAGGCAATCTCTGTCCAATCACAAGCTGACCACTAAGCAGTGGTCAAACATGACAGAATACAAACTTTACAGAATTAGTTGAGATAAGTCACTAAACAAACAAGAAACAGCAACAACCACCACAAACCCTGGAGAAGGGGGAGAATCTTTTTCCCAGAGTTGCTGTATTGTGTGATATTTTTTAAAATACAGTTTTCAAAATTAATTATGAGACACACAAACAAGAAAGTGAGGACCATACACAAGGCAAAAAAGCAATCAATAAAAACTATCCGCAGGCTGGGTATGGTGGCTCATGCTTATAAGCCTAGCACTTTGGGAGGCCAGGAGTTCAAGACCAACCTGGGCAACATATCAGTATAGCAAGACCCGACTACACAAAAAACAAACAAACAAAAAAACTGTCCCTGAGGAAACCAACACATTGGACTTACAAGATGAAGATTTTTTGTTTTTGTTTTTGTTTTTGTTTGTTAGCAGACAAAGTCTTGTTTTATTCAAGTGATTCACCTGTTATGACCCAGGCCACTATGTACAGACAAGAGCGGGGAGTTTTACTTCTTGGTCTCTTCCTCTTTGGACGGAGTCTTGATGATCTCCTCCTTCTTGGCCTGGAGGTGCTCTTCAGGGCGCTTGCATACTTCCTTGGTCTTAGACCCGCGAGCCTCAGCCTGGTCAGCCAGGAGCTTCTTGTGGGCCTTGTCAGCTTTCAGCTTGTAGATGTGTTCCATGAGAATCTGCTTGTTTTTGAACACATTCCCCTTCACCTTGAAGTACAGGGTGTGATACACATGGTGGACAATCTTCTTAGACTCACACTATCTCCTCAGTACTGGCGCAGAATCCTCATATCTCTGCTTCCAGGTTGCCTTCTCAGGCATTGGAGCATTGGCTGTACCTTTCGCTTCCTATGCCCATATGCCTGCCCTTCCAGCGAGCCAAGGTGTTTTTCCACACTTGAGCTCGAGAATGGACAGTCACGGGCTTGCGGATGATCAGCCCATTTTTGATCAGCTTCCGGATCTGCTGACGGGAGTTGCATTGGTGATTTCATTAGTCTCATTTCATTAGACCTTTTTTTGCACAGAGGAACACTAGAGAGAAGCCTCTTCTGAAGCCTGAGCATACTCATGGCTCTGGCCACACTACCGAAAATAAAGCAAGATGAAGCTTTAAATCAGCTTTTTATATATGTTCAAAGAACTAAAGGAAACTATGTCTAAAGAAATGGAGGAAATTATGAGAACAATGTCTTACCAAGTAGAGAATATCAATAGAAACTAGAAGTTGTATTTTTAAAAAGAGAACCAAATAGAAATTCTGGAGTTGAATAGTACAATAACTGAAATGAAAAATCACCAGAGGGGCTCAATAGCAGATGTATGCATGCAGAAGAAAAATCTGTAAAGTTGAATATAGGTTATTGAGATTATCCAGTCTGAGGAACAGAAAGGGAAAGGGAAAGAATGGAGAAAATAAACAGAAGTTCAGATACCTTTGAGACATCATCAAACATACCAGCATATGCACAATGGGCATCCATGAAGAAAGGAGTGACAGAAAGGGCAGGAAGAATATTTGAAAAAATAATGACCAAAACCTTGCCAAATTGATGAAAAAATTAATCTACACATGAAAGAAACTCAATGAACTCAAAGTAGGATAAATCAAAGAGATCCACACCTAGACACATCATAATTAAACTATTGAAGGCAAAGACAAAGAGATTCTTGAAAGCAGAATGAAAAGCAACTCATCACATACACGAGATCCTCAATCAGAACCATGCAAGCCAGAATGTCTTTAAAGAAAAAGACTATCAACCAAAAATTTATACCCAGCAAAACTATACTTCAGAAATGAAAACTAAATTAAGACAATCTCAAATAGACAAAAACTGAGAGGATTAATCAATAGCAAATCTGTCCTATAAGAAATACAGTCATGAACTCATGATGACATTCAATAAACAATGAACCACATATATGGACGTAGTCTCATTAGATTATAATGGAGATTTATATTGTATTTTACATTTCTCAGGATGTATGTCTGTTGTTAAGTCATGCATCACTATCAAAGAAAGTCTTGAGGCTGAAATAATAAGACACAAGACAGTAACTGAGTCCACATTAAGAATAAAAACACTATAAAAATACC